AAAAAAAAACCTAGCCGGGCGTGGTGGCGGGTGCCTGTAGTCCCAGCTACTCGGGAGGCTGAGGCAGGAGAATGGTGCAAACCCGGGAGGCGGAGCTTGCAGTGAGCTGAGATCCGGCCACTGCAGTTCAGCCTGGGCGACAGAGCAAGACTCCATCTCAAAAAACAAAACAAAACAAAAAAGGCACAGAAGCATGGCGTGTAAGTGGAACTCTACATAGCTTGGTAGGCGAATCAGTGTTTGATGAGAAAAGCAAAACTACTAGTAGTAATGTTTAATGAGGGATTTATTATAGGTATTTGAACTTATATAATTATGAGGCTCTTGCTTATGAATCTGGAGCTTGGGCCTGAAGTCAGCAGGGAAAGGAATTAGAAAAGAAAGGAAAGTAGGTCAAGCGCAGTGGCTCACACCTGTAATCCCAGCACTTTGGGAGGCTGATGCAGGTGGAGCACAGATCAGGAGTTCAAGACCAGCCTGGCCAACATGGTGAAATCCCATCTCTACTTAAAATACAAAAATAAGCCAGGAGTAGTGGTGTATGCCTGTAATCCCAGCTACTTAGGAGGTTGAAGCAGGAGAACTGCTTGAACCTGGTAAGTGGAGGCTGCAGTGAACCAAGACCGCGCTACTGCACTCCAGCCTTGGTGAAAGGGCAAGCCTCCATCTCAAAAAAAAAAAAAAAAAAAAAAAAAACAGAAAAGAAAAGAAAGGAAAGTAGAAGCAAGGAAAATCCAGAACCTGCAAAGATGAACTAGAACAATACACAGGACAGACTGGAATCCTTGTGAGTTTTCAGCCATCTCCAAGCCTCCACATTCACTGATGGAGATGAAATATAGAAAACATTCTGGAGCTGGCAAAGGGGTCAGGGAAGGTGCAGGAGAAAATTCAGCAGGAGCCATAGTGGCTGTGCTCGTGATTGCTGACCCCTGCCAATAAAGTGAGCCAGCACATGAGCAAAACTGTACTGCAACAGTGTCTTCCAGACACAAGAAGAATTTGACTGCTGCATCATTTCCACCTTCTAAATCCCATGCAGGATGTCTCTTTTGCACTAACCCTGGTAATAAAAGGAAAGGAATTCTGGAAAATGCAGTTACAGGCTACTTCAGTTGACATAATACAAGCCTACCACTGTCCAGCCCTTGTCAACTTGACATCCATATATACCTCTTTTAATTACCCTTAACTTCCAAATAAAGACAGTAGCAAAATCAGCCACCCCCTGTGTATCCAAAAGCATGCTAGTTCTCTCCCAAAAGAGGATACAGAATCCCTTCACACATCTTTGGATGATGCTGATTCCTCTTTGAGCTGAATCACATTCTCCTTTGATATCCTGTGACTTAAATCCTGAGATACAAGGTTGAATCCTATTAACACTTCTTATGTTAGATGATAGGTAAACAGAAGTGGGGAATAGAAAAAAAACTTGGCTAATCTATACACAAATGCATCCATATCAAAATAAGGAAGAAACACTCCTAAATATCACAGTCTGTTTCTGCAGCTGGTCAGATGGTCATAGCTAGTATTATATCTATATTCATCCACTACACATTTCATATCCCTTTTGCTTTCAGCAAGTACCTTGGCTACTCATGGTTATTTGACTGGTGGGGTGACCCAAACCTTCATTCCTTCATGCCTAACCTGGATTATTAGGCATCCTGCCTGTGTTGGATTTAGTTTTCCATTGTCTTCCATCACAGGACATGGGAGTACCAAGAAGTGCCCTAAAAGATATAATGCATTCCAATTTCCCCTTGATATTCAGGTCAAATTAATATAATGAACTAAAGTGATGTCCTGTATGATGAAGAAATGATCAAGGACCCTGCAGACTAGATTATGACATAGGGCTGGAGAGTTCACAGAGCCCTGAGATTAGGCAGTGAAAGCATACTGTGGACCCTGCCAGGTGAAGGCAAATGCTTCTGATTATCTTTACTAAAAGACATACAGAAAAAAGCACTCAACCAGATTAACAGCTGCATACCAAAAGAAGATGTTATGTTGATTTGCTCCAGCAACAAAACCACATCTGGATAAGCAGAGTGACCACCTGATTAAGTTTATAGGAATAGTATCATTCTCCAAGATCCATCTGTCTTCTGCCAAATAGGCAAACTAAATGGGGATGTTTTAGCAATCACCACTCTGGTATCATTTTTCCAAATCTTTTTGTAGAGACAGGGTCTCACTATGTTGCCCAAGCTCAAACTCCTGACCTCAAGCAATCCTCCTGCCTTGGCCTCCCAAAGTGTTGGAATTACAGGCGTGATCCATTGCACATAGCCACTCTAGCATCTTTGAAGTCCTTGATGATGGCACTAATCTCTACAGTCCCTCTAGGAATAGAGTAATGCTTTTGTTTTACGTTTGTGGTTTTTTTTGTTTTTGTTTTTTGAGACAGGGTCTTGCTCTGTTACCCAAGTTGGAGTATAATGGCATGATCATGGCTCACTACAGCCCCAAACTCCTGGGTTCAAGCAATCCACCCACCTCAGTCTCTTGAGTAGCTGGGACTACATGTGTGCACCACCATGCCTGGCTAATTTTTAATTTTTTTTTTTGTAGAAATGAAGTCTTGCTACATTGTCCAGGGTGGTCTTCACCTCATGGGCTCAAGTGATCCTCCCACTTCAGCCTCCCAAAGTGCTGGGATTACAGATGTCAGCCAACATGCCCAGCCACTGGTTTACTATTTTTCCTTCCACTTGGCTTTTCCTACTATAACAACCCTTACTTTGCAGGTCAGGGGACCAGTGTAAGAATTCTGACAGTTGATGAGTATGTCTATTCCAATTACACATTTCAGAACTGAGGAATAACAGATAGTGGGTTCAGAGACCCAACAGGCTTGACTATGAAGAAGACCCACAGCAAAACTCCATTAACCACCTGACCTCCGTAAACCCCTACTTTGACTGGTAGGCCACGCTAATTCTACCAAAGTAGAGATTAGTGTCAATTCAGAACTAGGATTCAAAAACCCCCCATAAATGTGATTATTTTCCCTTCGTTGGTGAACAGGTGCCCTGGTAAATGAGCACAGGTCCCCTTTGGGGAAGGCTAGAAGGAAGACTTATAGTATATATATTTTTGTCTGTTGAACTGGGTCTTTCCTTAAGGGGATCTGGCTCCCTCTTCATCCAAGGGATTTCTAGGCCTGTGAAAATGTCTCAATTCTAGGAACTGAGTCAATTCCTTGGCTCTTTATTGTGGTGACTTGAGTTAGACTTTTATTCACCAAACCTAGAGCTTTTCTGCTTCTGCCCATAATTTTCAGTTCTAGGGATACTATAATCAGTTAGCCAATGCCAAAGATTTCTGTGGCTTACTTACACTATTCTGATGATACTTGGGCTTTGCTGCCCATCACAACAATCATGCTTTCCTTGTCTTTGTCAATCAAATGCTACCACTTGACACCCATAGCCTCAGGATCCCATCATCCCCGTTGAATTTAGGGAGCCCAGCAGTTCGCACTGTCATTTCTGGCATACAGAGAACAGTCACCACAGGACTCTTGCCAGCGCTACCCTGACAAATGTCTTTCTCACAACCTTAGTTTAAGGTGTGGGGAAGCAGGATAAATTCACCCTAACATACCTACCTCTGTGGCAGTTTCTGAACCTCAGCACTACTGACATTTTGGGCTGGATTATTCTTGTTGTGGAGGATCGTCCCATGCATTGCAAGATGCTTAGCAGCATCTCTAGTCTCCACCCATGAGAGGCCAGTAGAATTTCCTCTCACCTCCACACCCTCAGTTGTGACAACCAAAAATATCTCCAGACACTACCAGATTTCCCAGGGGAACAAAACTGCCCCTGGTTGAGAACCATTACTCTACCAAGGAAGTTCTGGCATTTCAATTTCATTTAGTGGAGATTACCTTTTGGTCCAAGTTTCGGTCATTCTCAGACAGGATAGAAGGACTGCTTCTATTGGCAAAGGAGTCTCACTAAAATGTTAAGTGTTCAAAGACCCATTTCATTGACATCTGCCACATCTTCCCAATTTTCAGTGTCCCACTACTTCTAAAGCAATGGTTTAACTTTAACAGAAGTGACTCTGTGAGGTTGGGGATTGAATTTGTACTGTGATGAGCCACTCACAGGATTCGGGAGGCCGAGGTGAGTAGATCACTTGAGGTCAGGAGTTCGAGACCAGCCTGGCCAACATGGTGAAACCCCATCTCTGCTTAAAATCCAAAAATTAGCCGGGCATGGTGGCACGTGCCTGTAATCCCAGCTACTTGGGAGGCTGAGGCAGAATCACTTGAACCCAGGAGGCAGAGGTTGCAGTAAGCCAAGATCGCACCACTGCACTTCAGCTTGGGTGACAGAGAGAGACTCAGTCTCCAAAAAAAAAAGAGAAATAGGGTCTTGCTTTGTCACCCAGGGTGAAGTGCAGTGGTGCGATCATGGCTCACTGCAGCCTCAAACTCCTGGGCTCAAGAGATCCTCCTGCCTGCCTCAGTCCCACATAGCTGGGACTACAGGTAAGCATCATCATGTCTGGCTAATTTTTAAATTTTTTGTAGAGGTGGGGTCTCCCTATGTTGCCCAGGCAAGTCTCAAATTCCTGGGCTCAAATGGTCCACCTGCCTCAGCCTCTCAAAGTGCTGGGATTATGGGCACGAGCTACCGGGCCCGGCCTTTATTTTTTGTAGAAATGAGAGTCTCACTTCATTGCCCAAGCTGGTCTTGAACTCCTGACCTCAAGCAATCCTCCCACCTCAGCCTCCCAAAGTGCTGGGATGACAGGCATAAGCCACTACGCCTGACCTAATGGGTGATAATTTAAGAAACTATTTTGCTACTACATGCCATGGACTGTTAGCATCCTCTTTATAACTGAAAACATGGTCATTAATGCCTTTAAATCTAAACAGATCAGAGAACCAATTCCAGATAACCCAGAACCACTTCAGAGAAGCTATCATCCTGGTTCTGTTCCTCTGGAAGCACTTATAATTCCAAACTGTATCAGTCAAGATTCAGACAAGCAAAACTACCAGTAGTGATATAGAAAAAGCAATTTGGGCTGGGCGTGATGGCTCACACCTGTAATCTCAGCATTCTGGGAGTCCAAGGCAGGAGAATCACTTGAGCCCGGGAGTTTGAGACCAGTCTGGGCAACATGGCAAATACTCTGTCTCTACAAAAAATTAAAAAGTTAGCCAGGCAAGTCGCATGCACCTGTGGTCCCAGCTACTCGGAAGGCTAAGATGAGAGGATGGCTTGAGCCCAGGAGGTCAAGGCTGCAGTGAGCCTTGCTCGCACCACTGCACTCCAGCCTTGGCCACAGAGCGAGGCATCGTCCAAATAATAATAGTAATCATAAAAGAAGAAGGAGGAGGAAGAGGAAGAACGGGAGGAGGAGGAGAATGAGCAGGAGAACGGAGGAGGAGAATAACGGATTTATTAGAGAGATACGACCTTAAAACATTTTTGGAGTTGGCTAAACAGTTTATGTGAAGCTGTTGCTTATGTTTCTATACTGGGGACTGAAGTCAGTAAGGCAACAGTTGGGAAGGAAAGATAAACTGGAATCTGCAAGGATGAGCTAGAACCCAAAAAGACAGAAGAGAACTTGAGTCAGACTCACTGCCTCCCAGCTTACCGTAATCTCCACTCCAGTTCCACCAATTCTCTTTTTTTTGGGGGCGGGGAGACAGGGTCTTGCTCTGTCATCTGGGCTGGACTGCAGTGGCGTGATCACAGTTCACTGCAACCTCAAACTCGTGGGCTCAATTGATACTCCCACCTCAGCTTCCCTAGTAGCTGGGACTACAGGCATGCACCACCATGCCCAGCTAATTTGTTTGTTTTGAGATGGAGTCTCACTCTGTCCGCCCAGGCTGGAGTGCAGTGATGCAATCTCAGCTCACTGCAACATCCACCTCCCAGGTTCAAGCGATTCTCCTCACTCAGCCTCCTGAGTAGCTGGGATTACAGGCGCCCACCACTACACCTGTCTAATTTTTGTATTTTTAGTAGAGATGGGGTTTCACCATGTTGGCCAGGCTGGTCTCAAACTCCTGACCTCAAGTGATCCACCCACCTTGGCCTCCCAAAGTGCTGGGATTACAGGCATGAATGAGCCACTGTGCCCCGCCCTAATTTTTTAATTTTTTTGTAGAGATGGGTCTCGCTATTTTGACAAGGCTGGTCTCTAACTCCTGACCTCAAGTGATCCTCCTCCCTTGGCCTTCCAAAGTGGTGGGATTACAGGAATGAGCCCCCACCACCCACCTGCGTTTATATTGTTTATAAATAAATGCACAGTTTGGCTGGGCATGGTGGCTCACGCCTATTAATCCTAGCAATTTGGGAGGCCGAGGTGGGTGGATCACCTGAGGTCAGGAGTTCAAGACCAGCCGGGCCAACATGGTGAAACCCCATCTCTACCAAAAATACAAAATTAGCTGGGTGTGGTGGTGTGCGCCTATAATCCCAGCTACTAGGGAGGCTGAGACAGGAGAATTGCTTGAATCTGGGAGGCAGAGGCTGCAGTGAGCCAAGATCGCCCCACTGCACTCCAGCCTGGGCGAGACAGAGAGACTCTATCTCAAAAACATAAAATAAGTAAATAAATACACATTTTGAGAGGCATGTTCAACATATTTACTTAGATAAATTTGGAAAGTTTAGAGACCACCTACCTGTGCAATGTAGAAATCTCATATGTAAGGCCAGGCACAGTGGCTCACACCTGTAATGCCAGCACTTTGGGAGGCCAAGGCAGGCAGACCACCTGAGATCAGGAGTTCAAGACTGGCCTGGCCAACATGGCAAAACCCTGTATCTACTCAAAATACAAAAATTAGCTGGGCATGGTGGTGGGTGCCTGTAATCCCAGCTACTCGGGAGGCTGAGGCAGGAGAATCGCTTGAACCTGGGAAGCAGGGGTTGCAGTGAGCTAAGATCATGCCATTGTACCACTCCAGCCTGGGTGATAAGAGCAAGACTCCATCTCAAAACAAAAAAACCCAAAATGTCATACGTACAATAATGAATATATGGGTTTCACACTCAGAAGAGGGATCTAATTTCAAGATCTGATGCCTTCATAACTGAGATGGGTATAGGCTGCTGGTGGTGGTATGTGAGTTGTAGTTTAAATCTGTAACTCCCTAACTTGCTTTTGGGTGTGCACATTTGCTGACATCCTTGGAACTCACTAAAGCAGCTCCTCTCTTTCTTACCCTATTCCTCCTGGCTACTTCCCCCTTTCTGCATGCCCCAGGACTCTGTGGAAGCCATACATACCATCTGTCTAAACTCACAGGCAATTCACCCACTAGATCATAAATCCCTAGAAGCAGGAAGTCGATCCATTCACCATTTGTTTTCCTCGGGATACTGAGTACAAGTAGAGACTGAATAAATGTTTGCTAATTGAGATGACTACTATTTTTATCTTAACATCTGGTCAAATTTTCCCACTTTCCTAACATTTCACCAATATTTTGGTGGCACAATAACATCATAAATTTAAGTTGATATTGATTTTAAAGGGCTCCTAGAGTTTTTTTTCTAGAGTTACTTGTATGATCCAAACCAAAAACTCATAGGAAGGAGGGCCTTTGTTTGTTTCTGTTTAAATTGTGGGCTAGTTTCATAAAAATACAACAAGTGGAAGAAATTCAGTGTTTGTTTCCCATGGATACTCAATTGATATACATCCTTCTTTTTCTAGGTGTTCTCTATTCTATGTATAAGGATCACATTAGACCTCGATTCTTCAGTGAGTCCAAAAAATGAAGCTACGTGCTGGAAGCAAGAAAGACAAGAAGCTTCTGAAAACTATTTATTAAGAAGAGTAAATTTTCAATATGTAGCCAATTTTACTACAGAAGTGTTACAGAATGCTCATAGCCTTTGTATTTCAAGTCTCAATGTTTTAAGAAGTTGATTTCCAGATCAACATCATAAACAGTCAACTCAGATATCCTGTGTTGATGTCTTTCAGAACCTAGGGCATGATTTTCTGACTTAATTTTTTAAAATTTTGTAGTTAGTGGCAGAACATAATCTGCCACTAATCTGTCAAACTAATGATAATCTGCCAAACCAATCTAAAAAATTAATAGTTATACAATGGCTACAGAAGACTTCTCTTTTCTTTTTTTTTTGAGATGGAGTCTTACTCTATTGCCCAGGCTGGAGTGCAGTGGTGTAATCTCGACTCACTGCAACCTCCGCCTCTCAGGTTCAAGTGATCCTCCTGACTCAGCCTCCCGAGTAGCTGGGATTACAGGTGCCCGCCACCACACCTGGCTAATTTTTGTATTTTTAGTAGAGGTGGGGTTTCACCATGTTGGCCAGGCTGGTCTCAAACTCCTGACCTCATGTGATTCGCCTGCCTCGGCCTCCCAAAGTGCTGGGATTACAGATGTGAGCCACCGCGCCCAGCCACAGACTTTTCTATATCCATGTTAAATGTGACACCCTATTCATGACTTAATTCTCCCCAAATAGGGCAAAGTAATTACGGTTTCATAAACTCCTTTTTAGAATGGGTAATAATTACATCAGAGGAGAATGGTCATGTTGTTACATAAAGTTGGTTCACCACTTTACATCTCATACAGAAACTTGACCATTTTACCACAAACACATGTTTAACATTTAAATATTTTTTATTCATTTTTAGACTTTAAAGTATTTCTAAGAATACAAAGGTAAACTGCAAACAAATTTCTTTTTCCTGAGATGGCAAAAAGGATTTAGTCCAGAAGCACTATTGCTAATGTGGTATGACACTGTAGAAAACACAAGAAACCAAAGCAGATGTTAAAGGTTAAGTATACCTGTGGCCTTGAACTCCTCTCTAACTGCCCTCAGGGTCTAAAAAATTAACTAGGCTTTGCTGAAGACATAACTGCCTTGACTTAACCTTAATCCCAAAGACTTCAAGCCTAGGAGATAAAAAAAAAAAGTCACTGAAATAAAATCAAGAATATATGCAAGGTAAGATGATTTCTGGTGGGTACTTCCTTTTCCTCAGTGTTTCCTGTAATGGAGGTTTACGCTGACAAGAAGGTGAAGTCCAGTATTTGGGAACAAGAAAGATGTAAGAATATATGAAAATATGTCTGCACTCTGGATATTAACCTACTGTTCTGTGTATTATATACATTTTTCTCCATTGGCACAGATAATTATTTTAAAAGTTGTCAACTGTATCCATCACAAAGCTCTTCTAGTGCTACCAACAAGTACATATATTTTGGTCAACACTGTCCTCTTTGGAAAATAGGCAAGGAAAGAATCCAACTGCTTTATTCCATTAAAGTAAATATTCCAGCAGCTGGATCTAATATGTTCCATTAAGGTCAGGAAAACTGAGGACAGCTGGCATAGAAATAACTCATCCTTTCATGTTGGTTGTATAATGAAAAGTATTTTCTAACCAGGCTACTAGAAACATTCTACCTTCTCAATATGTACTTAGCACTAAAAATAGATTAAGAGTTTAATTAGAAACTAGCTTTTCTTACAAAACCCAATAGGTTCCACAATTTTGTAATCTTACTCTGAGAGAGCTAAAGTAATATATTTGTTGCTTGAAAAAAAGCAAAGTATTCATTTGTTAAGAGTAGCTATGCATGAGAACCTACAAACTGTGTTTAAATTAAAATGTAAAATCACATTTGGAGAAAAGTTAGGAAGTATGCAGGATGTGAATTCACCCACTTCAGCTTGGGTAAAGTGGGAGGGTCACTGCATGAAGACCCTATAAACAGATAACATAACAATACTTGAATTTGCAAAAGACTTCCTGGGCAGAGTTTTAGTGGCCTCATATTGTAATGTCTGAAATTGAGAAGGCTGTTTATATCAGCTACTAAAACCCCTGCCTCTCTTACTAATGAAACTACTTCATATGCCTGGATACACTCTACCTGCCTTTTGTATTAGGCTGGCACACAGTTATGTAGCAGCGACTGCTCAGTAACAATTACTTAATTGTACTTTTTCTGACATTCTGTGTATACATTGTCAGAACATCCTTTTACAGATTGACTCCATAGTGTTGAATGGCAGGAATTAAGTGAATGCACTCAGGTTATTCTTAAGATTGAATATATTAATATCTGCATAAGTACACTTATAGTAATCCAGATTTATTTACCACAAATTGGAGAGTGAGTAAATATTCTTAATTTAGAAAAAAGCTTACCCAAGATTCACTCTTAGTTATCAACCTCCTCTACTGGCTTTGACATGATTCAGTTTGCTATGACATTTTCTGATTACAGGAGTTGTGTGACCTGAAGGGTACACTTGTAAACCTGTATTCTCTGTTCCTAGTAACATACAGTTAAGGACTGGAAAAGAGCTACAGAAATTCCATAAGTACTTAACCAACCACCTCACCTTTCTATGAGTTTCACAACAGGATGTTTTTATTTTTTACCTTACTTTCCCCAACACTCTCTGGTAATGAAATGACTGAGAAACAAAACCGCCCAGAGAGGTGGGGGAAATCCAACAAACTGGTTCATCTAGAGTTGTTGTCCTGTATAAAGAAACCAAAACACTAAAACTTATTTTAAGAGTCTCTTTTTCAAGTAAAAGCATATAATTGATGTTAATTCAGTCTCAATTTTCAGATCAGAAGGACTATAACCTGAGTTGCAGGGTTGGCTGCTCTTATTATCTGAAGTTTTAAGAGGCCCTGAAGTAGAAATGAGGAGATTTTAAAGTGTCATTTTAGAAATACCCCTGCCTCTTTAAGGGCCAAACAATTATAAACGAAGATAGGCAATGTCTGGATTTTTAAAAAAGTTTTATTGAAATGTAGTAAGTTCTAAAATACGGCAGAGAGGTCATATATTTAATGCTGAAAGGGGAAAGTGATGCTCAAAGTCACACAAAGGCTGCAGGATTTCTGACTCAACACCTTTGGGGCTAGAAAGAAATGAGGAGTGGGCTGGATGTGGTGGCTCACACCTATAATCTCAGCACTTTGGGAGGCCAAGGCCAGCAGATCGCTTGAGCTCTCGAGTTCAAGACCAGCCTGGGCAACATAGTGAAATCCCATCTCTACAAAACATACAAAAATTAGATGGGTGTGGTGGTGTGTGCCTGCAGTCCCAGCTACTTGGGATGCTGAAGTGTGAGGATGGCTTTAAGCCTAGGAGGCAGAAGTTGCAGTGAGCTGAGATGACGCCACTGCACGCCAGCCTGGGCGACAGAACAAGACCCTGTCTTAACAACAAAAGAGGCCGGGTGCGGTGGCTCACACCTGTAATCCCAGCACTTTGGGAGGCTGAGGCAGGCAGATCACTTGAGGTCAGCAGTTTGAGACCAGCCTGGGCAACATGGTGAAACCCCATCTCTACTAAAAATGTGATGCCTGTAATCCCAGCTATTCAGGAGGCTGAAGGAGGAGAATCACTTAAAGCCAGGAAGTAGAGGTTACAGTGAACTGAGATCACGTCATTGCACTCCCACCTGGGCGACAGGGCAAGACTCTGTCTCAAAAAAACAACAACAAACAACAACAACAACAAAAACAAAAAGAATTAAGGAAACAACTTCCTGTTTAGGAAGGTGGGTGAAAAAAAAAATCTCTACATGTAGGCAAGCAGTTTGTGATATGTGGACTAATCTTCCAAATCTCACTCTAGTACTAATCTCATGCCACTTGGTATAAATAGGTATTTTAAAGTGAAACGTTTAGCATTCCCTAGGAGATTCAACAATACAAATATTAGCCACTCCTAGAAATAGACTTTGGATCTAGAAATGGTGTTTGCTATGTTAATGGGAATAGTGGGAAGAAAATACACTGGCAGACTATACAAATATTAGAAGGAAGATAAATATCTTAACTATCTTATGTCAGGACTTACAAGTTAAATGTTAGAAGTTTCTTCTTTTTCTGCCTAAAACCTGAATGCCAGAATAAGCTGAGTTACAATGCAGCAGGGAAAACTGATCACTGGTTAAAGTGTGGTTTCTGGATCTTGTTACTGGGTATTAAAGCTCTTTGGCAAATGCCTTCATATCTGTTTAATGACTAGAAAACAATTCAAGAAAAGTGACAACAAAGACAATAATTACAAAACAGGCTGATAACCAGCGTTAACTATGATTGCCAAATAGAAGAAATGTTTTTTAAGAAACGATGTGTTAATATGATGTGTTAATATCAGTAGATACAAAGGATATAATCTGGTTGATTAAAATCAAAGTGAAATTTAACTGACATAGTAAAATATCACTTTACAAGATAGTCAATTTGACCGGTTCATTGTGAAGAAGAGCATTATTCTCTTTCCTTTCTCATTTGTGATCCAGACAAAACAAATATCTGATATATCGAAACAATATTAAAAAAAAAAATACAAAAGCTCTATCAGTGTCATATAACCTCAAAACTCTACCCAAACTGAGATGCTCAGGTTTACATAAATATATATACATATATATCTTTTAAATCCCAGAGTCCAAGACACAAGCCCATAGGGGTGTGTGGCCCTCAGAGGCCAATTGTTTAACTCTGGGAGTGTAAGACTGTTGTGAGGTGGGTGGTCTCTGACCTACATTTATAGCTGTCAGTTTTGAACACCCTTCCCATGAGGAAATCTTTGCCTTTTGTTCAAAACGTCTGAACAAAACTCACCTCTGAACTAACAGAGATGTTAACAGGACACCTGGCACAAAAAGGGCTTAGAAAAACGTGTTCTTATAGAGTCTCTCAGGCTGTCAGTCATCTAGACACAAGTGAGTCAGCATCCATGGCGTTCAGAAGATAGAGTTCAGGCTGAGCTGTCAATCCCAGATGGCACTAAGGAAAAAAAGATGGAAGAGGGTTAGACTGATTTTCACGTATTTATTGAAATCAGCATTTAAGTGCCTATAATCAGCACATCAATTTAGGCCTTTTTTCTGTACTGCTATGTTGATTTTTATTTCAGAAAAGAAATGGCTTTTAGATACATACATGAATGGTTTCTGATATGCAAAATAACAGGTAGGAGCTAAAATAGTTAAGGACTAAGATGGTACCAAATGTCCTCAGCAAAATTAGCACTCTGACTATTCTTGTGACACAGTCTGCCTCAGGATGGGTGCTTCAAATCAGGATAAGAACAAACATGCAGAATGCTTTTGTATTTTACTACTGTGTGAATTAGAAATCAAATTTCCAATGGTTTCAATCCTTAGCCCTATTATCCTTTGGCACCGGAGCAGAGAAAAGTCTTTCATTTAAAAAACAAAAACATGAAATGGCATGTACTAAGAGGGAGAAAGATGACCTATGGGTCCCATATGTTTGTCAGGCTGAATAAGAATCACCAAAGCTGCTTTTAAAACACAATTCCCAGCTGGGCCCGGTGGCTGATGCCTGTAATCCCAGCACTGTGGAAGGCTGAGGCGCGTGGATCACCTGAGGTCAGAAGTTCAAGACCAGCCTGGCCAACATGGCGAAACCCCTCCTTGACTAAAAATACAAAAATTAGCAGGCCATGGTGGCGCATGCCTGTAATCCCAGCTACTCAGGAGGCTGAGGCAGGAGAATCACTTGAGCCCGGGAGGCAGAGGTTGCAGTGAGTTGAGATTGTGCCACTGCACTCCAGCCTGGGTGACAGAGCGAGACTCCATCTCAAAAAAAAAAAAAAAAACACACACACACACAATTCCAGACTCCGCTCCTAAAGAACCGAGTCTAGATGGTTTGTGTTGGGACCTGTGCGGTTATTATTTTTTTTGCAAAGACAAGGTCTCACTATGTCGCCCACGCTGGAGTGCCAATGATACAATCTTGGCTCACTGCAACCTCTACCTCCTGGGCTTCAGCCTTCCTCCCATCTCAGCCTCCCAAGTAGCTGGGACTACAGGTGTGTGCCACCACACTTGGCTAATTTTTTTGTAGACAGGGTTTTGCCATGTTTCCTAGGCTGGCTATGAAGTTATTTCTTTTTACTTTTTCTCTTCCTCGAATACACCTTGGAACAACTTTGAGTTTCATTTTAGCCCTACTGTTATTACTTAGAGCTTTTATTGTTATCCTTTGGCACCAATAACCTCTAAGTTAACGCTGAATGCAGACTATAAATTTATTGGCAGCAACTATCCCTATTTTAGTATAATAGAAAGGCACTGGAGTTGGGTTCAAGCCCTTAACTCTACCATTTCCTACGGCCTTCAGCGTGTCACATATACTTTTGGAGCCTTATTCTACTTATTTGTAAAATGTGAATAAATGCTACATTTGAAAATGCCAAGTACAGCCAGGCACAGTGGCTCACACCTGTAATCCCAGCACTCTGGGAGGCCAAGGCAGGCAGACCACTTGAGGTCAGTAGTTTGAGAGCAGCCTGATCAACATGGTAAAACCCTGGCTCTACTGAAAATACAAAAATTATCCAGGAGCAGTGGCTCACACTTGTAATCCCAGCACTTTGGGAGGCTGAGGTGGGTAGATCACAAGGTCAGGAGTTCAAGACCAGCCTGATCAACATAGTAAATCCCCATCTGTAAAAATACAAAGATTAGCTGGACTTAGTGGTGTGCACCTGTAGTCCCAGCTACTTGGGAGGCAGAGGCAGGGGAATCGCTTGAACCTGGGAAGTGGAGGTTGCAGTGAGCTGAGATCGCACCACTGCACTCCAGCCTGGGCAACAGAGTGAGACTCTGTCTTAAAAAAAAAAAAAAAATTAGCCAGGCATGGTGGTGAGAGTACTCAGGCGGGTGAGGCAGGAGAACTGCTTGAACCTGGGAGGCAGAGGTGGCAGTGAGCCAAGATCGCACCACTGCACTCCAGCCTGGGTGTCAAAGCTAGACTCCATCTCAGAAAAAAAAAAATTGCCAAGTATACCAGTATACTATCTCGTGTTAGTCTTCAGCACATATATTTAATACATTACAAACTGCCATGTATAACCTCACAGGCTTGTTGTGATGACTGTGTGAAGACAGATTAGACCAAATGATGCCCAAGATAAAACTATTTCCAACTAGTGGGCTGGGAAAACACTACATTACACTGGCTTTACGACATGGAAACAGCTCTTCAGACATCAGCTTGCTTAATTCAGGCTTAAGTAAATAATAGCAATTAAATATACTGACAATTCATTGAAGCCTTTCCCAAGTGAGCAACGGTGGTAGGCTTCTTCAATATGTAGTAAGCAAGGGTTGCAGTATTAGAACTGTGATGCCCACAGAGTGTCACTTAGATGACTTAGTTGATAGACTACCTTCATTGGAGATGTTTGTTATATTGTTCTGAGACACTGAGAAATGAGAATAAATGGCCTGGGAATGGGTTAAAATACTTCCAGGGGCAGACAGCTAATGCAAATGAGTGAACTTTTCAACTAGTAACTCTTGGCTATTGCTGGGATAGGACCATAGAGGACCCTGTCCATTCTCTACACTTGCCAAAAGCATTCGAGCTTACTTTTAAAATTCTGCACAGGGACCAAAATCTACCAGTTGGCAACTTCTGGCTAATGCATATTCTAGCACTAATCAGAGTATGAAACAAATGCTTCAGTGTGTTATGTTCCTTGTGCTGATAAACAATAAAGCTTGGCGACAACCCAACATGAAGGGTATACTACATATCATACAGGATAGTCTGGGAATGAAAACATGGATTCTGGAGTTAAGCTATGTGAGTTCAAATGCCAACTGTGCATTTCATTAGTAATGTAAATATGGGCAAGTTACTTTTGGCCTTCCAGTTGACTCATCTACATAGAGGCTGATCCTCTTGTTGTTACAAGGATTAAATGAGATAATACAAGTGTTCAGGCCGGTCTTAGAACACAGTACTGAGTGAGCCATTATACATTCATAAGCTAAGGGGCTGAGAGACGCTGACACATTTAGAATCACTGGTCCTACCAATGAAGGAGCAGAAGGTATTCCAGAGGGCAAAGCTAAAGGAAATGTTTCCAAACAGGACCCTCACATTGTTTTGCATCCTATTTTAGTTCTGAAATTAAATCCAAAGTAAGGAGAGAGCACTAAATGAGGAAGGACAACATGGAGAACAAAATTCTTCCTAGATAAATTCCACTGTGTTACTTACAGGGAAGGTTTACAACAGAGAAAGGGAAAATGAAGTTCTGGTGACACGCCTGGGACAAATCAACTGCTGACTCAAGTTTTCCTGTCATGTGTCTAGTAAAGTTCACTGTGCCTGAGCTCTGCCTTTGTTTTTAATAAATGATGCCAATATTTCCATTTATATCAGGTCTGCCAAAATGTTCCTTGATCTTTAAGCTAAACGAGTTTGGTTTCTCTTCAAATAGTAATTTTCATTGGCAGCACATATAGAATGTAAAAGTGAAACAGTGAAATAAACTATAGGTAGAAAATATTCAGCTTAGAGAAAAGCAGAATAAAATTTTTTTTCCCAAGTTTAAACATGGTAATGATGTGACCTTTAGCTATGTAAAACTATTTGACTAAGTGGGTAAAGGGAAATTAATGTCCTGGTATCTGCAATTAATCCAAGCCTTCTGAGGACTAAATCCATTTATTTCTCTATCCTTTCTAAGGAGAAAATCCTAACAGTGTGGACTTAGTGTGCCATTCCAGGTGGTAGTTGCTGGTTCAGTATTTTTGTATCAAAGTTGTTGAAACCCTATTAATAAATTATTTCAGGGTTAAAAAAATACCCAGGAAACCAAATTGGAAAAAGAAATTTTTTTTTAATTAGAAACCAAGTTTACATATGGTTAAATGGTTACTAAAAGCTCAGTTGTAACCACTCCTAACACCACTAGCAGAACCTCAAGGGAGCCAAGAGCTCTTCCCTTTTCCCTTGTTAATTTCCAGTATAATGTAGCAGCACAGTTATTTCATGTCACATTTAAGGAGAACAAGAATCAATTTATATAAAGTACAATTGTGTATCCTTAAACATTCCACATAAACACACTGCCAAAACTCACTGGATATGCTGGAATTGGATATGCTCACTGGATATGCTTAAATTTCTTACGTATTGTTTATTGCACCCAGAGTACTGGTTAAAATGCACTTTCTCTCTATGAGGATCAAATGCAATAAGGTATGAGGGTATTTTTAACACTGTGAAGTACACACATAATATTATAAAATGCCATTTAATTGGAAGGAGTTTTCTATCATTGCAAGTCATATATACAACTTTTAAAAGAATACTAGCAGCTTTTACCTAGGCTCCTAAATGCTTATAAATCTGAGACTGACTGGACCCACCCAGACCCAGGGCAAAGGTACATTTTACCATATCATCTTTATAAATAATTTATTTTTTTTTGTCAGTTTGGCCTTTCCTACTGCAGCCAGGTGAGAGCTTAAGATGTCAGTCCCTAATATCTTCACAGAGCACCTTTATGACCAGTTTGGGGAATTACAATGGTAAGGGGAAGAGGCAGATATGAAGAGGAATGGTTAGGGGAATTGTCATTCATGACTCTGTGCTATATTACTTGAGGGGCTAAGAAAAATGTATGGTCAGTGAAACACAGCAGTGTACCCTTAAATGCCTTATGACCATCCATCCAGTCTGTGCTTTTTTGACTGTGTGCAAATATCAGTAATAACGCTTTTGGGGGCTCAGATGAACAGAGAACGCCAATCAACCAGGACTCTGGAAGGAAAGCTCCAAAAACGAGAAGTCCTTCAACACCATTTCCCATTACTGTTCTCACCAAGTCAATGGCTGTAAAACAGTTTTGATTATTTATCTCCATCAAAGTGATTTGATTTGAGATAATCACACAATCTCAGGCTCGGTATGAAAAAATATCAGAAGTGGCTGAAGTAAAAGCAGCAGCTTCATGCTGAAGACACCCATTTCCTCTGACTCCAGAGCTCCACCATCTGGTCTCAAGATTTCTCCCTCTGAGGAAACAGCTGTAGAGAGGCAGCCCAGTTCAACCTTGCTGAGACAGTGAACTTTGCAACCATACTGACACCTACTGACTTGCGGAGAATGCTGAGAAAGACAGTGTGCTTTGCAACCGTTAAGTCCACAGCTCCTGAGATTGCCTTGCAAGTCATCTTGGGCGTGAAGCAGAGTGGTGCATCAGAAAAACATGACGATTCTGGTGAGAGGTGGCCTTTAGGAACAAAATAGACGACTCTCCTTCCCCCTTAAAGTCTTTTCTCCCCACCCTCAACATTTCATGAGAACATCAGTTCATAAATACTACCATCTTTTTCTATCACCACCCTCCTGGAGAAGGAAAGTGAAGGTTTTACAACTACATGTGCTCAAGAGTAAATATCATCAGGAAAGCTCTACACTAACAGACAGGTTATTAAGACTCCCAAGAAATCCTCATAAGCTTTTCAATCTGAGGAAAATCCTCAGAAGGTAGTTAATAAGCACCACCTAGCGATGCGGTGCTAGGTTTTGCTAGTTGTCAGTTTTTCCCCTTCTTTGTTTTCTCACCCCTCTTAACTTCCATTGAGAAATTAAAGTGGAAATAAGTTCAAAGAACCCTAAGCCTGATAGAGCAGGGTGTCTCTTAATTTTATATTTCATATGGATGAAGCTATTCTAGTTGAGAATTTTGTATAATTAAAATAATTGAAAAGGTATGTATAAGGAAAATTTCTCAGCCTTTAAAAATCCATTACATTTTGATAAATAAAACTTGCATACTCATTCTGTAGTTTGAAAAATAAAAAATGTATTACATTTTCCAATTTTTTTTTTAACATATAGCCTGGTTAAGAACCATGCATATCCTTGTCTCTCCCAAGGGTAAATTGAGCTAGCCCTTGGGCAACTACTTAAGCACTTAGTGTTGGAATGATAGCAGCAAATGTCAGCTTTTCAAAGATCCCACCCTAGTCCAGTTCCAAGGTTACGAGGTCAGGAAGAAAAAAATAATTCCATCTTTCAAACATACATGAAACAAAGTCTTTTCCAACCAACGGTTGAGTCATAAATGCAGTCTGTGCAACGGCACATACTTTTGGCTATGTTCACACAGTAAACCATAGAAACACACTGGCTCTGATGGCTACCTGCAGAAGACAGACTAATCCAGTGTTATTTAGTGTAGCCACGGGTGGCTTCTTCTGTCAGCAGGGCTTTAGAGATGCTTACCGTATGCCCACAGTCCAGGAAGGACATGCCCAGTGCAATCAAACATTGCCAACCCTGAAAGACAAAACATGGTCATCACTCACCAGGCTCTTTGAAAAGCCATGACTGCTCACACAGCACTTCTCAAATGCAAATCTGCTCCCTTCCTTGAACATCCAGCTGTGCCCATCTTCTACCACCAAGGGTAGCGCAAGTCATTCTCTCAACCCCGCCCCCCTTTCAAAAAATCATCTGCCTTCCTCAACAAAGTTTGTCCATATTATTTTTAATACTGAATTTCTCTGTTCTTACTGCTTTGTGTCTGTGGTTTTCCTTTTTTTTTTTTTAATCTTTATCATTATTTTGCGTTTTAGAGACAAGGTCTCCCTCTATTGCTCAGGCTGGAGTATAGTGGTGCAATCATACCTCACTGAAGCCTTGAATTCCTGGGCTCAAGCAATCCTCCCTTTTCAGTCTCCTGAGTTGCCAGGATTACAGACGCACATCACCATGCCCAGCTAATTTAATTTTTTTTGTAGCGACAAGGTGTCTTGCTATATTTCTCAAGCTGGTCTAAAACTCCTAACCTCAAGTAATCCTCCTGGCTCGGCCTCCCAAAGCACTGAAATTACACACATGAGCCACCTCGTCCAGCCTGTTGTTTGTTTCTTTTATCCAACTATAAGTTCTCGGAAGTCCACTTTTCCTCAGTCCTCCCCATGATGAGGAGAATGACTAACAGACTAATACAATTGGTGTAGTCTCCTAAGCTGCTCTATGAAGACCCTGTTTTGAAGCTAAACAGCAGTAACCCACTCTAGAATCAGCCCTCTCCTCTAAAAATAGGCCTTCAGGCCAGAGGCAGTGGCTCACACCTGTAATCCCAACACTTTGGGAGGCTGAGGTGGGTGGATCACCTTAGGTCAAGAGTTTGAGACCAGCCTGGCCAACATGGTGAAACCCATCTCTACTAAAAATACAAAGATTAGCCAGGCGTGGTAGCACGTGGCAGTAGTCCCAACTACTCAGGAGGCTGAGGCAGGAGAATTGCTTGAACCCAGGAGGCAGAGGTTGCAGTGAGCTAAGATCATGCCACTGTACCCCAGCTTCGGCAACAGAGAAAAACTCTATCTCAAAAATAATAATAATAATGGGTCTTCAACAAGCTCATTAGCCTTAGGCTGACTGAGAACAAACTGGCACCTTCATATCCAATTTGCATTACGAAAGGATACCCCTAACTTCTATAGTGAATTTTTAAAAACAATTCCTGTCAAGGATATACTCAGTTACTTGGTTTTCCTTGAAGTTGAGTTCCTAGATCACAGGATCAGTACAGTCTTTGTGTGCCCAAAGTTTATCAGGAAGAAAAAAAGAAGAGATATATCAATCTAGGAAATAATTTTTCAACATTTACTGAAGTAATTTTCTCAATAAAGTATCTAACGTGTGGCACACTGGTGTGGGGAAGTGATCTAGAGGTTAACAGCAGGTTTCCAGCCTCCATCTTTAGCCATTCTCTGCAGCAAAAATGATATAAATTCTGCTATTCCTTATCCCCAACTCCTGTGTTTTTTCAAAGAAACCTATACAGAACAGGGAAATGGATCTGTTGTTATTTTGGCTGTTTTTCATTAATATAAGCAATGTTAAAGACGATTTGGAAAATAGAGAATATATCTATAATCCTACCTTCCTACAACAAATTATATTGCCATTTTTATATAATTCTAGACTTTTTAAAAATTTTTTTATAATTGGAATATAAATTTTACATACTTTTTCATGTAGCTATAGTTTTATAACCACGATTTTTAAAAAATGACTCTAGAATGAGAGTCAAGGAAAGACTATCACTATTTACTTATTTGCTTGGACAGCTAGTAAGTGATGGAGCTGAGGGGGGCTGTGTGCCGCATGTGTCCCACCCCGAATCTCTAAATCACACTGCATGCCCCATTCTCCACCTCTGTTTTGTACTGTCCTCCATTCTCTGTACTGCTACCCTTCTTTTAGTTCCTCAAACATACTGTACTCTCTTGTTAGGAATTACTAAGAATGGAAACCACAGAAGTGACAGAAATTGAAAAAATGACAAATCTTAGTAACCAAAGTGAATTTTATGGTTAGAAATATTATTTTGTAAACAGCTGGATTTGACAATTTCATATAAATTGTCTCGATCACCTGGAGGTAGATTGTTATGTGCTATTTTGGGTCTGTTCATTTCTCTTTTTTTGTGGAGATAGAGTCTTACTATGTTGCCCAGATTGGTCTCTAACTCCTGGACTCAAGTAATCCTCCCGCCTCAGCCTCCCAAAGTACTGGGATTATAGGCATGAGCCACTGTGCCCAGCCTGGGTCTGTTCATTTCTGAATGTCAGTGAACCCCACCTCTACCATCCCTGATACCTATGCCCCTGCTCTTCCAGGCTGGACTTACCAAGTAGAACACAAAGCCCAGATAAGCCACGCTGACCACAGCAGCCACCACATACAATGCCACATGCCCTAGTTCCTGGACATAAACCACTACAAAGTACATATTGATGGAACAGATGATAAGGACCAAGATTCCTCCTGCAATCCGCCAGCCTCTGTAAAAGAAATCAGCACAGTCACTGGTGGAATAATCCAACTTGGCCACAGACAGAAAAGCAAACTGCATCCTGTGGAGTAAACAGGACGGGAACTAGAGGCAGTTCAAAATGAATGGAAAAACTGTTCTTAATTTGAAAAAAAAAAAAAAATGATTCTTCATAAGTCTAAGTTAAATCACCCAAAGTTAGACACTGATAGGGAGAAAGAGTGGGGAAAAGACACCAACAAATAATCCCTAATATTTAAGTCCCTAGAGATGCAACAAGGCCTAGAAATGCAATGAGTCATTTTATTAATGTTCCCAGAAATGCAACAAGTCACTTCAGATACCTCATTTCCTTTGAAGATATATATAAAAGGTACTAACTTATGCCTTTCTTGTTAAGATCATTTAACAAAGAATTAAGGTGCCTCAAACTTCCGTGGCTGAAGCTGAAGAGTTATGCTGTAAAAGCTGAACTTTCTTTCCCTTCCAAATGAAAGATGTGCTTTCTCTTCCTTTACTATATTCACAGTTTCCATTCTCTAAGCCAAAGAGGAAGCAGTTAGCAATCACCTCTCAAAGCATATCACTTCCCTCTATGTCTCACGTCTGACTGGCCTACTGCATGAAGATACCCTTTCCCCACATCAGCATCCCCTTTGGGAACGAAGAAGAGTACACTCACAGTCCATTGGCAAAGTCACTCATTACTGGCCGCAAGCTCGTAAATGTGAGGATGGGTATGAGGGCAAAGGGAAGCTGGAAAAGAAAGAAGATCAGATGGGATTACTATGGGTCCTTGTATCACCCTAGAGAACAGCACAATTAATGAAATGGAAACATAAATGCTGCCTCAACTACTCCATGAGAAATAATTATTCCTATCATCCCAACACGCTTGGGCATTACACTGAATTCTGTAGAGCTGTCATTAACCTAGCACACAAACCTTTGTACATGACTTGTCTCTTTAACCTCCACAAGACCTAGCACAGTGTCCTATATGTTCATTTAATGTTTGCTTTGCATTAATGAACTACAATTTTGTGTTCCATGTGTAAGTAAAGCTCGTAGTTCGCATTCAACAGGTTTAAAAAACCAAACCATTTCTACAATCCTTTTAGATGCCAAGGATTTCATATACGTTTACTGCAGACCACAACCATGCCTCTGCCTTCCTCTCAATATCCCCCCAGCACCCAGCTAGGCTTGGTACCCAAGGGCAGTACATAATGCTACCTGAATAACTAGGATGTGAGTTTCCTCGGCTTCCTCCTCACCTGTAAGCTCTGTAGAACATTCAGGAAGTCATTCATCCCTGTTAGATGCTCTACATCTTGGAAGACAGCAACAAGCAGAGTGGGGATGATGGCAATAGAGCGAGTCAGAATCACTCGGGCAAAGCGTGACCACTTTAGGTTCAGGAATCCCTGGAAGAAAACATAGGAGCAGGATGACTGTCTGCAACAGGAAACAAAAGTTTTGGGGAGGTTAAGGAGAGACCTCAGAAGAATGGGATTGAGAAGTGACAAAAGGGGCCAGGCTCAGTGGCTCACGCCTGTAATCCCAGCACTTTGAGAGGCCAAGGTGGGTAGATCACCTGAGGTCAGGAGTTCAAGACCTGCCTGGCCAACACGGTGAAACCCCATCTCTACTAAAAATACAAAAAATTAGCCGGGTGTGGTGGCCAGAGCCTGTAATCCTAGCTACTCAGGAGGCTGAGGCAGGAGAATTGCTCAAACCCGGGAGATGGAGGTTGCAGTGAGCTGAGATCACGCCATTACACTCCAGCCTGGGCGACAAGAGTGAGACCCCATCTCAAAAAAAAAAAAAAAAGAAGTAACAAAAGGGTTGTGTTATCTCCCTCTATCCTATACCAGCACATACCTCCATGACAAACTGGCCAGAATAGGTTCCTGTCATGGTGGAGCTCTGTCCTGCAGCCAGGATCCCCACTGCCCAAATGTAGAGTGCAGCAGGCCCAAAGTAACATCCCAGCACAACACCCTGTGAGAGGCCAAGAAAAAGGATATGATTGTGTCAATAATCTGCTCAGACAATATCCAAAACAGCGGCTCCCTGTGGCATTTCTCCCTTCTTCCTTGCTATGCACCACCCACGCCAAGTGCCGTGCTGGGCACTGTGCCAGTAGCTAGGCTCAAGTCCTGACCTCATTCTAGAAGCTTTCAATCTAAACTTTACTGGATGTTCCTTCGTTTCTCTGCCTAGTCCTTCCTCTTCTCCAAGCTCCTAAACCTCCATCTTAAATATTAAAAAAAAAAAAAAGAAAAAGAAGAGGTCTACACCACATTCCCCAAATTATATTCCTTTACACACTATTCTGGAAAATGGCAATAGAAGTACAGGGAAATATCAAATAAATTTGGGAAATGCTACACACCATATATTCTACTGTTGGAGGATCACAATGTAACCAGCATAAAAGAACTGAGAGACTCCAGTAAAAACACTTTACTAAGAACACTTTCTTGGGGCTGGGTGGGGTGGCTCACACTTGTAATCCCAGCACTTTGGGAGGCCAGGGTTGGAGAATCCCTTGAGCCCAGCAGTTCGAGACAAGTCTGGGCAACAAGGCAAAAACCCTGACTCTACAAAAAAAAAACAAAAAAAAAAAACAAGGCCAGGCATGGTGGCTCACACCTATAATCCCAGCACTTTGGGAGGCCGAGTGGGGGTGGATCACCTGAGGTCAGGAGTTAGAGACCAGCCTGACCAACATGGAGAGAAACCCCATCTCTACTAAAAATACAAAAGTAGCCGGGCGTGGCAGCACAAGAACAAAACTCCGTCTCAAAAAAAAAAAAAAAAAAAAAGCTGGGGTGTATACTGCATCATTTTTTTCTTTTATTTTCTTTTTTTTTTTTAAGGACAGTCTTACTCTGTCGCCCAGGCTGGAATGCAGTGGCCCAATCTCGGCTCACTGCAACCTCTGCCTTCCAGGTTCAAGCGATTCTCCTGCCTCAGCCTCCTGAGTAGCTGAGATTACAGGTGCCCACCACCACACCCAGCTAATTTTTGTATTTCTTTTTTAGTAGAGACAGGGTTTCACCATGTTGGCCAGACCGGTCTTGAACTCCTGAGTTCAAGTGATCCACCTGCCTCAGCCTCCCAAAGTGCTGGGATTACAGGCGTGAACCACCGTACCTGGCCTGTATAATGCATTCTTTTCAACTGAGCCTCTATTCCTTCCCATTTAATCCAAAATGCTTGTCTGGTGTCTGGAGTTCTGAAATAAATGACACTCCAGAGGAGATATGTTCACATCTAAAGTGAAGTCACAAAAAAGACCAGATACTATGGTAAAAATATTGATTCAGGAACAAAGATCACAAATCCAAACATGCTTACCCCTTTGTAGATGTCCACAGCCAGTGTCGAGTTATCTTTAGGAAAGAGGCCAGCATGAGGACTGCTGGTGTTCGTACAGACTTCAACCTAGAACCCAAAGCAGTTCAAAAGCAACTTTTGTTTCAGAAGCAAGGACCAAATAAGAGCTTTCCTACATATCATACACAGTCATCTATGAGAGGTAGGCTGGAGGGAAAACATTGAACCCTGGATATATGCTGTGATGTGGGCAGAGACTGGCAGCAATGTCATCTAGGATCTTCCTCTATAATCCTTCTACACCCACAGGTCATCAAAAATCTTCACTGAGTTACAGTGTGCATGATAATAATGTACAAACGCCGGGGTACTTTAAATGATTACAGGAGGAGAGGCTCTGAAGAAGGCTTCAGACATGAGAGAACACCCGGAATAGAATCCTCAGTCAAAGCAGACAGAGGAGTCAGAGGTTCCATAGATGGGAAACAAATGGTGGTCAAAACTACATAGGCAGGCCAGGCACAGGAGCTCACACCTGTAATCCCTATACTTTGACAGGCCGAGGTGGGCGGATCACTTGAGGTCAGGAGTTTGAGAGCAGCCTGGCCAACATGGTGAAACCCCATCTCTACTAAAATTACAAAAAATTAGCTGGGTATGGTGGCAGGCACCTGTAATCCCAGCTACTCAGGAGGCTGAGGCAGGAGAATCACTTGAACCCAGGAGGCGGAGGTTGCAGTGAGCCAAGATTGTGCCACTGCACTCCAGCTTGGATGACAGTGCAAGACTCCGTCTCAAAAAAAACACTACATAGGTAATCAGAAATCAAGATTGATACAGAATTCAAAATGACAAGACAAAGTCTGTTATCATCACAGTTTCTGTTTTCTGTTTGTTGACTACTCCCAAACAAAAGCTGAGAAAGAGGGTCCAGGCTTGGTTACCCCCATACTGTAGACTCTGACTGGTGCATGGTGATTTTGGGGGGCAGAGGTGAAGCTACAGATTATTTTTCCTGAACATTAACACTAGAATGAGGTATTTTCCTTCCCCATCCCATTGCAGTCTTTACTTTACCCTCATATTCACCACCACCCATAACCCCGGCTTACTCACCACCTGCTCATTGGTTTTCCCAAAAAATGCTTCAGCAAAGACTGAGACAACAAAGACGTTGATGATGAAGGAAACAAAGAGTGCAATGCAGGATTCAATGAAAAAGTACTTATTGGCTTCTCGAACTTCCTGCTTATTGTTCCGGTTTACCTGTCTAGACTAGAATGACAACAACAGCAGTCACTTTTTGACCAGTTAGAACAAGTTTCCTTGTAACATTTCAGGAGTTTGGAGTCAGCTGAGAGATTTAGGGGACAAACAGTTGACCAGACAAAATGTGAGAGATCCAACACTCACCTACATCCTAGTTACTGAGCAATTAAGAACTTCATATCGGGGGAGAAAAAAGAACTTCATGCTCTTTCGTTGAACTGTACATTCCCCAAATAGGGAACAGAGACTAAATGACTACTGAGCTCTCAGTTACTCTCAGTGGCTGGAAGGACCACTGACCTATAAAAACAACCTGATTTCAGTCCTAAGGTGTGCATATCCCTATTTATAAAGGTTTCTGAAATGTCTAAGCAAGCTATTACATAATACTGATGGTAAAAGCCTGTTTGGGCTTCTTTACTCCTGACCTCCATAAGCCCACTTGAGCTTTTGAAATTTAAACACAAGAGACTTGATGCACTTCTGACATTTTATGAAAAACTTTAGTCCCAGCTGGGTGCAGTGGCTCACGCCTGTAATCCCAGCACTTTGGGAGGCCACGGCGGGTGGATCACTTGAGCTCAGGAGTTCGAGACCAGCCCGGCCAACATGGTGAAACCATGTCTCTACTAAAAATAGAAAAATTAGCCAGGCGTGGTGGTGCACGCCTGTAATCCCAGGTACTCGGGAGGCTGAGGCATGAGAATGTCTTGAACCCGGGAGGCAGAGGTTTGCAGTGAGCAGAGATCACGCACTCCAGCCTAGGCGACAGAGCAAGACTCTGTCTCAATTAAAAAAAAAAAAAAAGAACTTTAGTCCCACCTGCTTTATGCAGTTAGTAATCTCTAGTCAATCTGGTGATAAAAAATATCATCTAAGTATATGGAGTTTATAAATGTCCAGCCTTGGAAAATACCTTGCTCCTTCAATGTCCTAACAATTATAAACTAACTTTGTGTCCCTTGCAATTGAAGGAAAAGATCCCATGAACTGTCTACGAGGTGAAGGAGATAAGGGCCTTGCTCACCTTGACTAAGGCAGAATGCAGGTACATGTTGTGTGGCATGATGACAGCTCCCACGATGCCCACAGCCTGTTCAATCTGTGGAGTGCGACAGCCTGAACAGGATGGTACGAACATGCCCTTGAGTACCTGGCTCTGGCTGGGTTTCACTGTAACATACTATATACCAACATAACAATGATTAGCCTTTACAGGAACGTGAAACGGGAGTAACATAGTACTAGGGAACAGTTAGCATCCCTTACCCCTTAAAACCTCTTCTTCTTCTTTCTTTCTTTATTTTTATATTTTTTGAGATAGGATCTTGCTCGTCACCCAGGCTGGAATGCAGTGGCATGAGCACAGCTCACTGAAACCTCAATCTCCCGAGTTCAAGCAATCTTCCCACCCCAGCCACCCAAAGTGCTGGTATTACAGGCCACCACACCTGGCCACAATCTTTTCTTCTGCAACTACCTAAGATAACGAGGAATACAGAATCATCATAGGACCAAGCAACATAAGGGGCTTACTACCAGGGGCCAGAGAATTCAAGACTGAGTATCCAGACAGTTTATATCACATCTTAGATATATGAAACATATGTGTATGATACGTAATTAATATTCTAAAGAAAGGGCTGGGTGTGGTGGCTCATGCCTATAATCCCAGCACTTTGGGAGACCAAGGCAGGCAAATTGTTTGAGCCCAGGAGTTCAACAGCAGCCTGGCAACACAACGAAACCTTATCTCTACAAAAATTACTTCGGTGTGGTGGTGTATACCTATAGTCCCAGCTACTAGGGAGGCTGAGGTGCAAGGATCACTTGAGCCCAGGAGGAGGAGGTTGTAGTGAGCTGAGATTGTGCCACTGAACTCCAGCATAGGCAATAGAGTGAGACTCTGTCTCAAAAAAAAAAAAAAAGCCAGGCACCTTGGCTTACACCTGTAATCCTAGCACTTTAGGAGGCTGAGGCAGGTGGATCATCTGAGGTCAGGAGTTCAAGACCAGCCTGGCAAACTTGGTGAAACCCCGTCTCTATGAAAAATACAAAAATTAACCAGGCATGGTGGCAGGCACCCGTAATTCCAGCTATGTGGGAGGCTGAGGCAGGAGAATCGCTTGAACCTGGGGGCCAAAGTTGCAATGAGCCGAGATCATGCCACTGCACTCCTGCCGGGGCAAAAGAGGGAGACTCCATCTCAAAAAAAAAAAAAAAAGAAAGAAAAGAAAAAAGAAAAAGCTGCTAAGGGACTTGTGCACGGTGGCTCACACCTGAAATCCTAGCACTCTGGGAGGCCAAGATGGGCAGATCACTTGAGGTCAGCAGTTCAAGAACAGCCTGGCCAACATAGCGAAACCCCATCTCTACTAAAAATACAAAAAGTTAGACAGGCATGGTGGTACACACCTATAATCTCAGCTACTTGGGAGGCTGAGGCACAAGAACCACTTGAACCTGGGAGGCAGAGGTTACAGTAAGCCAAGATCATACCACTGCACTCTAGCCTGCATGACAGAGCAATGCTCTGTCTCAAAAATAATAAATAAAAATCTAAAAATTAAAAAAGAATATAGAATCAATTCTTATTATCCATACTTAGCATATTTCTGTTCACCCACGTTCATTTAAAAATCACTTGATGTTTGCCACTAGTACGTATGTAGTAAGAGCTCATCCTTAAACACTCTCATATAAATTTTTCCCCAGTTCAGGATTTCTCTTGGAAGCCTTAGGCCAAGAGGCATAATCGACCCATAGATTACATATATTTTTTAAAGTTCCGCCAGAGCCAGACCAGTAAGCAGAAATCAGTTTATAAGAACTGTACAAAGAAAGGTGCAAGTACTACAAATAATGTTAGTGACTGTAAGGGGTTTCTGGGTTGAGGCACAAACCAGGAAATATCCAGGATATCTCACATAATTCATTAACTGTTTTAATATTGGGAAAGTTCAAGCTGCAATTAACATAAACCAGGATGAGCAAAAGCAGAACTCCTCTAAGTTAACAGCCAAGAATAACCCTGCAAACCCCTCCTTAATTAACCCTATCCATGGCTGTTCTGTTGTCAGATGGTCAACTTGGGACCAAGGAATCTTGTCTGGAAAGCCCTAAAATATCTAGTCATTTTAAACCTGGAAGTCCCTGCAGGCCTTTCTGCATACTAATGTTTGCTATGGATCATATTCCTTCAAAACTGGCCCAGGGATAAATTGGTTTTTGTTGATACACCCACTATAACTGAACCATACTAGCATTATTACTGTCTTTTATAATAAAAGGCTAAAAAAAAAACCCACAAAAACTTATTTTAAGAAGCTAATGAATACCCTGTACCACTTGCCTCATATCCAAATGTGAGGGCCATAATAGTGATGAGAAAGCCAAAAAATGCTTCGAGCTTCCGTAAGCCTAAAGGAAAAAAGGCAGCAGTGAGCTCAGAGAAGGCAGACTTCCCCATCAGCCACATGACAGAGAGCAGCTCCTTCAACCCTCCCATTTCCACTCTCCTTACCATATTTGTCCAAGAAGAGAAATACAAAAGTATCTGCAATGGTGATGAGAACGCCACCCCACAGAGGAATCCTAGGTCAGAGATGAGATATGGAAGTCAGAGAGACAGAAAAAAAGGAAACATTGAAAAACAGTCTCTTCCCAACAGCTCTCCAGATAAAGAACACTTGGAGAAGCTAGGACTTGACGGAGGAGGGACAATGGCAGAAAACCAGGCCTTGGGTAAAGTAAGGTAACAGCATCAACTTAATTACATTCATTTAAACTTTAATTGAGAGCCTACTATGTCACTCTTAGGATACAAAGCTGAAAAGTGTGGGTCTTACCCTCATGGAGTTAGATGGATAGAATTTTATAGGATTAGATAGATAGTATTCAGTGGGGACCGGGTGTAGTGGCTCACACCTGTAATACCAGCACTTTGGAAGGCTGAGGTGGGCATTCCTAAACCTGAGGTCAGAAGTTAGAGACCAGCCTGGCCAACATGATGAAACCCTGTCTCTACTAAAAATACAAAAATTAGCTGGGCATGGTGGCAGGCGCCCGTAATCCCAGCTACTCAAGAAGCTAAGGCACGAGAATTCCTTGAACCTGGGAGGCGGAGGTTGCAGTGAGCCAAGATCACACCACTGCACTCCAGCCTGGGTGACAGAGAAAGACTCTGTCTCAAAAAAAAAAAAAAAAGAAAAAAGAAAAAAAAGATAGTATCTAGTGGGATAAAACAACATACAAATCAATAATTGTGATACAAAATGCCACACATTCTAATAAAGGTAAGCATAACTCACCATGGGAAATGGAAGATGCAGAGTCTACATCTACCAGGGGAGAAGAAATTGTTTCCAGAAAGATTCCACAGAAGAAACAACAATTGAGTTGAATCTTCAAACTTAAAAATGAATTGGGTTTTTGTTTTTATCTCTGCTTTGAAATCCAGCAAAACATTGATTACTTTCTAGAGAAAAACCCCCTCACCTTCCTACAGACAGAAGATTGATGGCAATGGCTGAGCCAATGACTTCTTGCATATCTGAGCCGATGATAGCCAGCTCCACCATCAGCCACAGGATGATCCGTGGGACCTAAACACCAAACAGTAGAAAGACATGGTTCTGATTAATCACTTCTAAAAAATTCCTCCACAATTTGGAATTCACATTTTGGCACCAAACCATAAACAGTCCTTTATAAGCCTCCAGACTAGAGAAGAAATACCAGAACATGCCTCCACTTGGCCAATCACTGCACTGTGGCTCTCAGCTGGAGAAGGAAAACTGTGCTACCATGTGGCAGAGCCTGTGAACAAAGGTCAAGGCAGTAATCTTACTTTTTTCTTTTTCCTTTCTACTTGAGAAGAATGTAATTTCCATTTAATTTCCTAAAATTTTTAGAGGAGAATAAGGATGCTAATATGGTCAAAATATGGGTCAAGAAAGAATATTAAATGATTGCAGAAGAGCACATCTATCCTGACCATAGCTGGGAAGACAAAACAAACATGAAAAGGTTGGGGTAGGCGGGCACAGTGGCTCACACCTGTAATCCCAGCATTTTGGGAGACTGAGGCAGGTGGATCACCTGAGGTCAGGGTTCAAGACTAGCCTGGCCAACATGGTGAAACCCCGTCTGTACTAAAAATACAAAAATTAGCTGCGCATGGTGGTGCATGCCTGTAATCCCAGCTACTCAGGGGTCTGAGGCAGGAGAATCGCTTGAATCTGGGAGGCAAAGGTTGCGGTGAGCCGAGATGGTGCCACTGCACTCCAGCCTGGACAACAAAGCGAGACTCCATCTCAAAAAAAAAAAGGTTGGGGTCGACCAGGCACAGTGGCTCATGCCTGTAATCCCAGCACTTTGGGATGCCAAGACAGACAGATTCCTTAAGCAAAGGAATTTGAGACCAGCCTGGGCAACATGGCAAAACCCCATCTCTACAAAAACTACAAAAATTGGGAGCTAAATGGTAAGAACTTATGAACACACAGACAGAAACAACAGACACTGGGGTCTACTTGATAGGGGAGGGTGGGAGGAGAGAGAGGAGCAGAAAAGGTAACTATTGGGTACTGGGCTTAATATCAGGGTGATGTAATAATATATACAACAAACCCCCATGACACGTGTTTATCTATGTAACAAACCTTCACATGTGACTGCTCTGCCTACGGAATAGCCTTTCTTTACTCCTTTACTTTCTTAATAAACTTGCTTTCACACACACAAAAAAAACCTTCACAGCCGGGCACGGTGGCTCAAGCCTGTAATCCCAGCACTTTCGGAGGCCGAGACGGGCGGATCACGAGGTCAGGAGATCGAGACCATCCTGGCTAACACGGTGAAACCCTGTCTCTACTAAAATACAAAAAAAATTAGCCGGGCGTGGTGGCGGGCGCCTGTAGTCCCAGCTACTTGGGAGGCTGAGGCAGGAGAATGGCATAAACCCAGGAGGCGGAGCTTGCAGTGAGCTGAGATCGCGCCACTGCACTCCAGACAAAGTGAGACTCTGTCTCAAAAAAAAAAAAAAAAAAAAAAAAAAAAAAAAACCTTAACATGTATCCATCTCCAAACCTAAAATAAAAATTAAAGAAAAAAAAAATTATCCAGGCATGATGGCGTACGCCGGTAGTCCCGACTACCTGGAAGGCTGAGGCAGGAGGGCTGCCTGAGCCCCAGTGGTCAAGGCTGCAGTGAGCTGTGATCATGCCACTGCACTCCAGAGTGGGCAACAGACAGAGCAAGACTGTCTCAACAAACCATCACCACCACAACAAAAAAGGTTGGAGTCACCTTTAATGTAGTAATACCCAAACAAGTGAAAAAGAACAGATATGCAAAAGGACTCAAGGGAAGATAGTTGGAATTGGGTGGCATATAACGAAGTCACAAACTAATCTGGCCAAACAATACAGCTAAAAATCAAATTCAGTTATGCTGACTCACTGAAGCCAGAAAAAACACCTCCAGATAGCTAGGATTCAAAACATTTGTCAGGTCACCCATGGTAGCTCACACCTATAATCCCTGAACTTTGGGAGGCAGGCAGGAGGATTACTTGAGCCCAGGAGTTCAAGCCCAGGCTGGGTAACATGGTGAAACCCTGTCTCTACAAAAAATTTTAAAAATAGCTGGGTATCATGGTGCATGCCTGTGGTCCCAGCTATTCAAGAGACTGAGGTAGGAAGGGAGGTCAAGGTTATAGTGAGCTATGATTGTGCCACTGAACTCTAGTCTGGGTAATAGGGCAAGACCCTATCTAATAAAAAAAAAAAAAAAAAAAAAACAGGCCAGGCACAGTATCTCATATCTGTAATCCCAGCACTTTGGGAGGCTGAGGCAAGTGGATCACCTGAGGTCTGGAGTTTGAGATCAGCCTGGCCAACATGGTGAAACCCTGTCTCTATTAAAAATACAAAAATTAGCCAGGTGTGGTGGTATGCACCTGTAATCCCAGTTACTCAGGAAGCTGAGAGAGGAGAATTGCTTGAACCTGGGAGGTCAAGGTTACAGTAAGCCAAGATCACACCATTGTACCCAAGCCTGGGTGACAAAGCGAGACTCGGTCTCAAAAAAAAAAAAAAAAA